TAATCCTTATAAGTGATATCATTATCATGTAAATCTATTTCCTTGTCTACAAACTTTGAATTATGGTGCTATAAATACTAAAGTTGTATAATATTAGTTCCCTTAGACCAGTATTCTGTACTTTCAATAAGGTCTCAGACAAAAAGTCCTAAAAATTGTGCAGCGATCTCGGGTCTTTCCGATACTAACCGGAAAAGTCCAAGTATGTGTGATTCCAAAATACATTTATAATTTCTTATTTCTGTGTCTGATATATTTTTAATTTTGTAAATAATCATATGACATTAAACCGACCCATTATAAACAGTACGAATAAAAATAGTTGAAATATTTATTGAAGAGCTATGATAATATCATTAAGCATTTAAAAAATCACATGGTACTTTTTAGGTAAGAAAACGGGGAACGATTAGAGGTGACAATACGAAACAAAGTGTACGGAGAATTATGAGTTCAATGATAGACATTGGTGTTGCAAAGAAAATGAACTGGCTAGGGAGGGATGATAATTAAGAGAGCATTTTCCTTTTTCTCATTGAAAGATGTGTAGCTGTGTGAGTATTTTTTTTTTTACATATCTTTAAAATATTATTTTATACTCCCAAGATATACTGATCTTGGTTATTTTGTTTGGGTGTGTGTGGATTGACAACTTACAAATTTAGTTAAACATGAAAAATATGTCTAATTGTCAAAGATCAGACATGTGTCGAGGGTAATGCATCAAAGTCACATTAATTTATTGAGCTAAGATTACAATTTTTTCATACTTTTGACATAATGTTGCACAAATATCTTGTCATCAAAATGATTACAAGTAAAGTAAACCAAAAACACATTTGTATTTTAATTTGTACATTAATTTATCTAAGTTTGTGTAATATAATGTTTAGCATATTTTAATCCAACATAAATTGTGTAAATACCGAAACAATATTTTTCTATCTTACTTCTAAGGGCAGATCATTCTAGTGACATAAAATTACCCTACAAAGTAGATCTCTGTAGTGTGCAGTTTAAAGTAATTAAAAACAATTTTTTTTCACATAACAAATAAAATCACAGTATCTTATTTTGACAGTAACTGTGAGAAAGATTGGATGTTGCGAAGATGCAAAAGACAAAGATATCGAAGATGCTGAAAAGGACTAGTTACGATACTCTTGCGATAGGGATGCCCTGGATGGGGGTTGGAAGGAAAGGAAACAAAAAATGGCAGCAGAATAGGAGACCAACCGATGAATGGCCTTGAAATGACTTTGAACTTTTTTGGTATCTGGTGAATTATCATTATTACCCTTTGACTTTAATTTAGTTTTTAGCTCACCCGAGCCGAAGGCTCAAGTGAGCTTTTCTGATCAAAATTTGTCCGTTGTCTGTCGTTGTCGTAGTCGTTGTCGTTGGCGTCGTCGTCATACATGTTAACTCTCCCGATTTAGGCGGGAGTCTACCGCTTTTTCACTCCATCTCCCGCCTACCGATTTGATTCAGAAATCTACCGCTTTTCTACAAAAGCTGCGTCTAAAGTATTTTTGGTTCGCTTGGGTATCCATTTTTGAAGCCACTCTCATAAAATCTCGCTAGATATCGCGTGATTTGACTCCGAATCATACAAACGCTTTTTTTGTACATAGATTTCAAGCACGGATTTGACAACGACAACAACATAAGACTACCAGTGATTACATTGGTTACGATAAATTAATCAACATCCCTGCCATGAAAAAGGAGATACAGCTTTTAAGAATTAGATGAAAACATTTGACATCGTCTTTAAAAGCACAGAAGCTCACAACTTTATCAATAAAGTCAATATAAATCACTCGATTGACCAAGCCATGTGGCACATCTCTACTTTCGTTTTCGATCATCGCGGGAAATCTGATTTATATAACGAAAGATACGAACTTGTTTTAGATCTAGATTAAACCATGCCATCATTTGTTTTGTTTAAAAACTGAATGAACATTCAGAATTATTGCTTCTAGGCTATTTCAGCAAAGATCACTCTTCAAAAGGCTAAGTAAAGCAGCCAATCCTGAGACCAAGCAAAATGATAAGCATGAAAAATATTTGAATTGTACAATTTATGCAAACTTAAGGTGTTTCTTTCTTCTTCTTTGCTGTTGATATTTAAGATTAATTAGTGTAGGTACCTGATTTCATTTAAGGCTTATTATATACATGCATATTACATGAAAGATATCGATAATCCAAGCGTTAAACAACACGCGCGCAATGCTACCGCTTTTGAAGCCTGAATCTCCCTCTTTTTCATCACAATAGGTTAACATGTATGGTCGTCGTTGTCGTCGTCGTTAACTTTTCACATTTTCATCTTCTTCTCAAGAACCACTTGGCCAATTTTAACCAAACTTGGCACAAAGTATCCTTGGGTAAAGGGGAATCAAGTTTGTTCAAATGAAGGGCCACGCCCTTTTCCAAGGGGAGATAATTATGAATTAGAGAAAAATTAATGGCGTTTTTAAAAAATCTTCTTCTCAAGAACCACTGGGCCAGGAAAGGTGAAACTCATGTGGAATTATCCTCAGGTAGTGTAGATTCAAGTTTGTTCAAATCATGACCCCCGGGGCAAGGGTGGGGCCAAAATGGCCGACCCAAGTTTTACATAGGAATATATAGGAAAAATCTTTAAAAATCTTCTCCAGAACCACTGGGCCAGGAAAGATGAAACTCATGTGGAATCATCCTCAGGTAGTGTAGATTCAAGTTTATTCAAATCATGACCCCCGGGGCAAGGGTGGGGCCAAAATGGCCGACCCAAGTTTTACATAGGAATATATAGGAAAAATCTTTAAAAATCTTCTTCTCCAGAACCACTGGGCCAGGAAAGATGAAACTCATGTGGAACCATCCTCAGGTAGTGTAGATTCAAGTTTGTTCAAATCATGACCCCCGGAAGCAAGGGTGGATCAAAATGGCCGACCCAAGTTTTACATAGGAATATATAGGAAAATCTTCTTCTCCAGAACCACTGGCCCAGAAAAGACGAAACTCATATGAAATCATCCTTAGGTAGTGTAGATTCAAATTTGTTCAAATGATGACCCCTGGGGCAAGGTTGGGGCCAAAATGGCCGACCCAAGTTTTACATAGGAATATATAGGAAAAATCTTTTAAAATCTTCTTCTCAAGAACCACTGGGCCAGGAAAGATGAAATTCATGTGGAATCATCCTCAGGTAGTGTAGATTTAAGTTTGTCCAAATCATAACCCCCGGTGGAAGGTGGGGCCACAATGGCTTATCAAAGTTCTACATAGGAATATATAGGGAAACCTTTTAAAATCTTCTTTTCAAGTACTTCAAAGCTACGATTAGTGTTATTTATATGGAATCATCCTCAGGTAGTGTAGATTCTAGTTTGTGCAAATGATGAACGCCTGGGGGGGGGGGGGGGTTAAATTCAAGCCCGATGTGCTCAGGTGAGCGCTGTGGCCCCTGGGCCTCTTGTTAATTTTAATTTTTGATTTAGTGTTTTTAATTCATTTGAATGATTTAATTAGTAAACCGTATCAAATTATCGTATTCTTGTTATTTCTCCCACTTATTGGAAATTAAAAATATGAGTCATTGGTTGAGAACACTGGGTCAACGTAAAACAAACTCTGGGCCAACGTAAAAAGACGTTGAGCAAATGTGAAAATAACATCGGGCCAACATCAGAGAAACAATGGGCCGATGTAAGCTAGAGGAATGCTGGGCCAATGTAAAAGAAACTCTAAGCCAACGTAAAAGACACATTAGGCCAATGTAAAAGACATACTGGGCCAACATAAGACCAATATTTGTAGTCTAGTACGTAGGCCCAACATATATCCAAGGTTGGGCCAACATCCATGCAATCGGCGTCTAATGTTGGGCCAACGTAAAGCCAATACGTTGGCCCAACATGAGCCCACTTTGCACTTAAACATTGAACCAACATTGGTATGCAACGTTGGGCCAACAAAATGAATATTGTTGGCATTACATTGGGCCAACATATTGATGCTGACTGGGAACCCATCCGGCCTACAGTTGAGTCTGTGTATAATTAAATAAATATATAGTTAAACCGACCCCTTTTAGTTACTTTAGTCCTTCTTGGAGTTTAAGATAAAGTCTCAATAATTTCAAAAGAGCTCTCGTATGTACAACCAGTGTTATAAAATTACCACTGGCGTTGGAAACAAAGTGATTTAAAAGTGTGTGCGTGTGTCAAGGGGGTGCTAATTATAGAGAAAAAAAAATCAAACGGTAATTCCAACTTTATTCTTGGCTTATCCGACTTTAAAGTTGGTAATTCCTGTTTACTTTTAATCTCCGTGATTTAGTACATTTGTAGATTCCATATCAATTATTAATATGTATCATATCACGGACTTTCAATCGGATTTCTGTCGGTTCAAAAAATCCCATTATGATATTGCTAAAAAAGGTTAAAATAAAAAAAATCCTCCTAAGTCTAGAAAATTTAGTTCAATGTCTTGGCCTTCTACATGTTCTATTGAACGTTAGACATTAGGTCTTAGTATATCCCGAAACAGTCCAAATACGAGCGCTTAATATCGAACGCCCCGTCGTAAACAAAAATATTATGATATTGGGCCTTAAAATGTCAACAGCTCTGACAGCCTCTCTATGAAGAGTAGTGGCAGATAGCTTAGATAAGATGTGTTCATTTTCATACAAAATTAAAATTTCTAAAGAATAATTTAGACTTATTCACCTCAATTTAAAAAAAAATAACACAACTGGTTATATCATATCCTGATAACGTTAGTAGCTAGGCGACAGGCGCTTTCATACAGTAGTACCCGGTAACAGTACACTAGTTTTCTACTACGTGATATTAGATATCTGTAATTATTGCTGTTTGCGCTAAAACATATATGTATGTAACTAATATATATTTTGTTCATATTAAGGAATAAATACAGTTTATTTTTTTTCTAAAAATTCAAGATCCTTTCATCCTGAAGAAACTGTCACTTTAACTGTGTGTAATTCTTATTTCATATTTCAGCAGATTTTTTTTTATACATTTAACATATACCACCAATATCATGGACATGCTAGGAAGCAGTACACAGTGTAGAGTACTACAGTGTTTTCAATGTGAGGGAGACACGGAATACTACTGCAACACGTGTAAACATGACCTGTGTCTACAGTGCAAAGAGGAACATGTGATTAATTTAAATACCATAGATCATGACGTTGTGATTTACCGTGAGAAGTATGAAAATATCCCCAAACAAGAGGCCTGTGTGATGCATCCATATAGAATGTATGAAATGTACTGTTCCTCATGTGAACTACCTGCCTGTTTTCAATGTAAAGAACACAGAAAACACAGAGTACTAGACATCAGAACATCATATAAAACAAACCGCCAACAGCACAGAGAAATCATTCATAACATTAGAAGTAATATTATCTATGAGAGGTGTTATCTTCTGAATGGAATCAAATCTAATATAAAAAATTGTCCTGTGGAAGTCTCTGAAAGTCTGGTGGAAGCGGCAATGAAAGCCCAGAGACTAAAGAACCTTATAGACACTGTGATATGTGATATTAAAATCAAGCAGAAATCTTTTATGATGCATAGATTAAATCAACAGAATGAAATAATGAAAAGACACCTTTCATACATAGAGAACTATGATAACAGATTTGAACAATTAGCAAAAACGCCAGTAAAATTCCTCTTATTTCTGAAGAAAACCCATGTCCTTAACATGCTTAGTAAGATAAAGGGTACCCCAAATCTTACACATCACACCTTACTCTCTGTGACTGAAGAAATCAAATTGGATGATGTGATTAGGTTACTAAGTGAAGTCCAAATCATAGAAACTGTAAGAAAAATTCCGAAAAATGAAGATCTGCTTTACCTATTGTCTAGCCCCATGTTACTTGGATCTGTCACAGTGACAGGTGTTGAACGCTTAACACACATATGCCATGTGATATCAGACAAGGCTTGGGTCAGTGATATGGACAATATTATGTTAATAAACACAGAAGGTGATACACTTTATCATCTGACAGGTTTGAATGTTTCAGAACTATTGTGTGTACACACTGTGAACTTGACTGGTGAACTTATTTATATAGACTGGTATGGTAATATTAACACATTATCCAAAGATAACAAAACACAGTCTACACTGAAACATAAATCAGAAATATGGGAACCACGATGTGTTTTCTGTTCCCCTTCCAATGGAGATTTACTGGTTGTGAATTATAGAGATGATCCTATAGAAATGGCCAACTTAACACGTTACAACGACAAAGGGCGACTCATACAGATGGTACAAAATAATAACAGAGGGCAGATACTGTATCGTAGACCTATGTGCATCACAGAGAACCGTAATGGAGATGTTATTGTGTCTGATGATGATCGTGTAGTGGTGACAGAGCGTGGAGGTAGACATCGATTCTCCTACACAGGTCCTCCTTTAGGATTTGTAGGACTGGCACCACTAGGAATCTGTACAGATGTGATGTCACACATCCTGGTGTGTGATGATAACACCAGCTCAGTGCATATGATTGACAAAGATGGTCACTTTTTGTCACTGATATTGACACAAGAACAAGGTATAGCCAGACCAGTGTCCCTGAGTTATGATGATAAAACCCACCTACTCTGGGTAGGAACGTGGCGAAATAACAGAATATGTGTATACAGATACATCGGGAGAAAGGGGATTTAATCTGAGAGGAAGGTAATTTTAATTGGTTAATAATAAGATACATGTACACACATGGTCATGAAATGGTGCATTGAAATTTGTCAACTGGTTACTTGTACATAAGATTGTGTATTCTATTTGCAGGACAATTGTAAAAGTGTTTGCTCTTGGGTCTTGAAGTAAGGAGTTGATCCTTCTACTGCACGTTCAAATTCCACGGGAACGGTCTTTTGGATGATACCATACATGTATATGTATAAACCCCGTATGGCAACAGGTGCTGACATAAAAAAGATCCTCATCCAGATCATTGTTCAAAGGTTTTGAGTGCCGAGAAGCGGTCTACCCACTGGTGCGAAGATTTACTAATCCAACGGCCAAATAGTCCGAAGGTTCACAAGTCCGATGGCCTTCTAATCCAAAGGCCCACTACGATTGACAAAAAATGTCACAAACTTTACATTTACATATCATAACAAGGAGCGATAAATATAGCGTTTTATGGAATATTTAAGAAGAGGAAAATGTTCAGTTTGTTGATTACCCTTATGGAATATGATTACAGGTTGAGTTATACATCGATATGTAATTATCTATTATTTGTTGAGGAATGCCAAGAAATCACATCCAGTTTCCACATCGATGAAGCCAATTAATGTGTAATTGATGCAAATCATCCATATTCCCCAAGAAAACTCTCCCCTTTAAGTAGCTTCTTATGTCCTGAAAATACTTCCCGTCAAAAACCTTTATTATTTTTTTTAACAATGTATGTAAATTGCACCTGGCATAGGTACCAAAATTGTAAAAATAGACCGGAAGGAAAAAAATGCCAAAGAAAAAAGAATAATTTTATACATTTAGAACTTCTATTGACTAAGTTCATTTTATTGCTCGATTACCGGTATGATACCTTAATTCAGCGCGGTACCTGTGGAGGTACTTATTTATCGTTATCGATGTTAATTTATACACACACGCACACAAAAGGGTTTTTTTTTGGAAATACTTAGAAATTTGAGAGGCGTGTAAATTAGTTTCCTATAATCAATTTAATTATTTTTTATAATTATATTTTTTTTATATATGAATATGAATTTTTCATATGAATTGCATGGACCCCCCCCCCTTTCAAATAAGAAAAATAAGAAATAAATTTTCACATAATGTTTTGATGTTTCTTTAGTCATGGAATTTCTGATCTCGATTTAAGTAAGATTTTAGAAATTTATTTGATTAATTTTGCAAGCAACCAAAAAAAAAAAACAGGTCTGGACGATTTCCAGATAAGGAAGTCAAGAGCGATAACCGTGAATTACTATAAATACTCAGAATAAACTAGAGTTACTGTGAGCAATGAGCTAACTAAATGATACGACCCCCCCCCCCCCCCCCCCGCCTCCCATATGGTTATAACTGATGACAATGTTTTGCTGTGGTGGGGAACCCAAAATATGTGTCGGATCAAAAAAGTAAAGTAAGAGGTGCACAATTGCAATTTGTAATCAAGATTCTGTAAAAGTTTCATTAAATTTCTCTCAGTGGTATAAGAGGAGTTGCGGATAAGAGACGGGTACCCTAAAGCGTAACAGATAGACGGACGGACGTACAGACAGCGGACGGACGGACGGACGGACATACCGATTACAGTATACTCTCCCACTTTTCAAGCGGGGGATATAACAAGGTGCCAGTCCTTCCGACGAATTAGGTAACAGTATGGATTTGTACTCGTGGAATTTAAGCATCATCGATGAAAATCGAATGGCTAAGCAAAATTATACATGTATTTACTAACATATATTATTATGCTTCCTGTCAGTTTGTCTCTGTATAATTATAACCCATACCCTACTATTTTCGCATAGTGTTCTAAGGATTTATATAGCGTAAACATACTATGCCGAATTATTATACCTCCGCTTGAAAAGCGGGAGGGTATACAGTAATCGTTAATTCCGTCCGTCTGTACGTCCGTCCGTCCGTCTGTTACGCTTTGGGGTACCCATCTCTTATCCGCAGCTCCTCTCATACCACTGAATGAAATTTGATGAAACTTTCACAGAATCTTTATTACATATTGCCATTATGCACCTGCTATTTAACTTTTTGATCCGACACATATTTTGGGTTTCCCGGCCACAGCAAATCATGGACTTTGCAATTATAACTATATGGAAGCGGGGGTATCATTTAGTGAGCTCATTGCTCACAGTACCTCTAGTTATGCTTCCTGTTAGTTTGTTTCTATATAACCCATACCCTACTATTCTCGCATAGTGTTCTAAGGATTTATATAGCGTAAGCATACTATGCTGAAATAGTGCACGGCTTCCACTTCTCAAGAAAATCCGACAACGCCATATCGGGTAGCTGTTAAATGCTATAAGTGAACTTGATAAGAACTCCCTGGTGTTATTTATTCCTCAGTAAACGATTACATTGTATCATGCATTATTTTTCTTTCTTTTCCGAGATAAAAATGTAAAGGTTGTTCACGGTCAACATGTGGAGAATACCTTATTCTTTAAAAGTTTTAATCTTCCTTCTAAAGATTTTTTGTTAAATAAAATCATTTTGAGGAAAAAACAAAAGCACGTGTTTTCGTTTTTATGCCCCCCTCCCAGCTCGAAAAGTGGGCGGGTATATTATAATCGGCATGTCCGTCCGTCTAGCTGTGCGTCCGTCCGTGCGTCTGTGTGTTACGCTTTGTGATACCAATCTCTTATTCGCAGCTCTTCTTATACTACTGACTGAAATTGAATGAAACTTTCACAGAGTCTTTATTAAACATTGCCATTGTGTCCACCTATTTTACTTTTTGATCAGACACATATTTTGGGTTTCCCGGCCACAGCAAAACATGAACTTTTGCCATTATAACCATATGGAAGGCGGGGGTATCATTTAGTGAGTTCATTGCTCACAGTACCTCTAGTTTCTTTTTTAAAAAAATGTGTTTGGAGTGTGTTGTCTGATTGGACAGAAGAATAAATACATGTACATGATGTTTATTTATAGCAACTTTCATTTATCGTTATTGACTTCCATATTTGGAAATCGTCCAGACCTGAAAAAAGAAATTAAACTGACCCCGGCTTTTGAAGAAAAAGTCCTATATTTGGATTAGTGAATTTATGGTGTTTTTTTTTTACACAAATACTAATGCAACTTTAAGTGTTTGATTTAACGAGACGTATAGTCTATTTCGAGTGCGCATGACTTTGCGCAGCTTTTGAATTTCATGCTGGCGAATCGAGAAAATCTTGGTTTCGGACACCAGCTACTACTGGCATAACAGAATAAAAATCACTTTCTAGAAAGCAAATTTATGAGAAGCGATTGGATTGCTTTTATACCCCCCAAAAGTGCTGAATATCGAAACATTACATGTAAAAGGCTGTTTACATCGTGTGTTTCATGTACTCACATTCGAATGATGCATTAATTACTACAGGGCTAATTGGAAAGCTAAGTGGATACGTTATTTAATGCAGTGGACACAAAAAATGTGCATGTATAGTCTACACTTTCCGGTAATATCTCAGGCACGTAGTATGCAAGTTCGGGTGCATGTTCTTTATTTTCTGAAAATAGTCTTTTGTTTTATGTTTTGACCCCCCCCCCCCCCCCGAAAAAAACTGTTTTGTAACTGTACGGCAGCTGCATTTCTGTAACTCACTGACCTGAGAAAAAAAAAAAAGAGGTAGACCTCAACTGCACAAAAGCTGAAAAAAAATCATTACTTCTAGACTTCTTCATGAAGCGTGTTGCAATTGAAGCGATTTGTCTGTTGTCATCTTGAAAATGACAGTTAAAAATGCGAAATTGGATGGTTTCCATTTCATGGAGAGCTATTTACAACAGGACTTTGTTTGTTGTAAAAATAGTTAAATGAAAATTGTAAACTTTAAGGAATTTATTTTGAACACCCAGTTAGAAATATTTTGAGAATATGACTGTTTGAAATGGAGAAGCAGCGCACTTTTGTGTTCAGTAAATATACATTTTATTTTCAGTTGGTAACACTACAGCTAACCGTTTGGTTTGGAAATCCAGCCATTGTAATCTTCGCTGGACAGGGGTTTCTGATACGCTACTCTCCACAGTTTAATTATGAGGAAAGCAGCGTATCAGAAACCCTTGGCTATCCAAGGTGGCCGTTGTGGAAAATGGAAAAGTTAGAGAACGGTCACACACATACGCGAAGAAATAGGACTATTCTTCCTAGCTGCAGAACGACGGGGTTATGATTTTATATTTTTAAAATTCTTTATAGCCAAAGATGAAAAAATGAGACCATAAGTTAACACTACAGTTCTGCAGCTTTGCTCTTCCGAGATTGGACATCTTTGTTGGCTTGTCAATCACCTGCACGAGATCACCCATGGGTTTCCGACGATGTTCCTACATATACATTGAAAAAAATGTCTTTGGTCTGCATGTTTAATAAATACTCAGTAGACCGGCGGCTTTATGTCATTCAAATATGAGAATATTTTGTTGAGAGATTGAAATATTCCATACAAATTAATTATCGGAAATACTTAAAGCCTGTTCATGTCATCTTTCCAAGCCAAAGGTTAAGAAAAACTACTCACACCTGCATGCTTTAACGTCTTTTCCCTTCAAATACATGTATTGTTCATGACACTCATTCTGATTAAAGAGAGGTCAATCTTTTTTTCCTTGGAAGGGTAGGTGGGGGGGGGGGGGGGCAAAGTCTTTTTTGTTTCCTCTGCATGCATAGAAAGTTTGAAACTCAAAAGTTCTAGATAGTCAATCAAAGATGACTTACAACATGAATCTGGAATTACTAAAATTGAACTTTGGGATAGAGCCTTAATGAACTTAAGAATGATATCCAATATCATGAATTTGGTGACTTTTTACTAATAGCTGTCATCTACTTGAATGAAAAAGAAATCTCTGGGGCAGAAATACAAAAAAATATGGGGAAAAAATTGATAATTTGCCGCTTTTCCAACAAATTCCCATACGGTCTAATAGTAAAATTTGACAACTTTTGAGACATTCGATTTCAGCTCACCTGAGTCGAAGGCTAAAATGAGCTTTTCTGATCACATTTTGTCCGTCGTCCATCCGTCCGTCTAGCTGTCCGTCCGTCTGTAAACTTTTCACATTTTCGACTTCTTCTCCAGAACCACTGGGCCAATTTTAACCAAACTTGGTACATGTACAAAGCATCCTTGGGTAAAGGGGAGTTTAAATTGTTAAAATAAAAGGCCAAGTCCCTTCACATGGAGAGATAATCAAGAAAAGACAAAGATAAGGTGGGGTCTTTAAAAAATCTTCTTCTCAAGAACCCCTTGGCCAAAAAAACTGAAACTTAGGTGGAAGCATTCTTGGGAATGTAGATTCTAAATTGTTCAAATCAACGATCAAATAGGTTTTTGAATCGT